AGGAGATACTGGTCACACCAACGAGCTTGGCAGAGTCATGTCTGTATGAGCTGCAACAGAGCAGACTACTTGTTTCTTTTAGTTTAGTTTAATAAAGTGTATTCTTAGGAAATATTTTAAGAATTCCAGAAAGCCGAAGACAGAAGGGCAAGACTGGCTTCCTCCTGCGCCAGAGTGCAAGGACTGAGTAATGGATGTAAGCTACAGGAAGACAGGTCCCCAAAGAAAAGCATTCCTAAGAATACGAGACGCTTGCCAAATCATCAGTGGCCAAGAGAGGCAGGCGGGCTCCCCCTCCATAGGTGTGTTCAAGAGGAGGCTCTCGGGGATGCCTGAATCAGGATTTCTGCGCTTAGCAGGAGCTTGGACTCAAGTCCCTCTTGAGTCTGGAGCTCTAGAAATTTAAAGGCACAAAGTCACATTTTTTCAACAGGGTGTGAGGGGAGATGAGGTGTGCAAGAAGAAATAAGCCAAAATGGAAGTCTGGGAACAAAAACTGGAGAAGCAAAGCTGAAGGCATGTTTTTAAAGATTATATAAAGAGCAATGCAGGAGGGGAGGGAGAAAAACAGAGCCCCCCTTCCCTCCCTTCATCCAGTTCCCCAGACAAGCCCCCAAGCCACTGCACAGCGTAGTCCCAAGACCTGTCTGGACATCCCTTCCTGAAGCCATTGCTGGTCACAGCAACTCAGCAGTGAGGGAAAAATACTCCGTCTCCCCCACCCCACCCTCAAGGAGCCTTTCCCAATGTTGGTGGCACAGTCCACACTCCTCCCCAAGAACCATCTTGAAGCTTCATCTTTGGCTGAGCCCATCTGGGACCTGGAAAGGAACTGCACGCTGTCTCTTGTCTCACTACTTCCTGGGAGCAGCACTGGCTGGCCTCCATCAGGGGCTCTGCCCAACTCTGTACCCAGACCAGGTAGGACTTCACTCCCCAGCACTTCCCAAAAAACAGCAGCCTTCAGCGGAACCTTTAACTCACCAAGCCAACAGTGAGCTCCCCCTCTTTGACCTTCTTCTTCCCAGCATGAACTGTTTTAAATATCTCCAGGAGTTCATCTCTTTGTACTAAGCAGCTGCTGTTTCTGACAGGGTGATCCTGAGATGGTCCTGGCTGTGGGACCTCAAGCCTGCTTCTCCCCAAAGGCACAATGGCGGTCCTGCTGTCCCCATCTTCAGAGCAGGTCAGCCAGGCTTCCTCTTCCTCCTCCTCCTCTTCACAGTCCTCATACACATCACAGTCTTCCTCTGTGTCACTATCTCGCTCTTTGCCCCCAGGAGACTCCTGCTGAGAGTCGAGGGGGCTTTCTGTCTCTCTGCTGGTTGTCTGCTCCTCCCTTTGGCTGGCACCCTTGTCAACTGGGTCCAGTACTTCTACTGTTTCCACTTCCTGAGCAAAGGAAACAGGACACTTATCAGAAGCTGCATATGATTGCAAGAGACCTTCCCAGTACCAGCTTTTTCCCCAAACAGACCAAGTTTCCATTCAATATATTCCACTGCAAGAGACCGAAGGACATTACACACTGAGGTAGCCTGGCTACCAGATGACGCTTGGTCTTTCAGATAGATTATATTCCCCATCAAGTGAGAAACCAAAAAAAGACTGGGGATGGGGGATGCAGAGGGCAGGAAGACCAAGTCAGTAAAGTGAATTCATGCAAGGCACTTAATATGGCAGGGAACCTGGATCAGCTGAAAGTTTATTGAAAATATTCTGGGTACCACATAAAACCCTGACTTTGGGAGGCCAAGCTGTGCTTGATAGCCCACAAGCCACCACAGACAACCACCCACTGTTACCTGAGCGTTGGCCGCCAGCCGCTTTCCCTCTGCCAAGGCCGACCAGAAGACCACTCGGACACCTTCTTTCTCGAAGAATTGCGCCCAGGCAGAGCGCTGCTGCTCACCCAGCAGGTCAGCCTTGTTGAGCAGGATGAGGTTCTCCTTCTCAGGACTGATTTCTTTAGCATAGCACTCCTGCAAGATCCAAAACAACCAAAGGCCGTCATCACCAAATTCACACAGGAGAATAAAGTGAGGGAGTCTCGACACCTTAAACAGTGCTATGAAGAAGGACTGGAGGTTGGACTTAATACGAAGAATCCTTCTGGAAGAGGAGTGGCAATAAATGCAAAAGAAGTGCCCACGGGGACTGAGACCCAAGAATTTGAACATCAGAATCCAGCGAAAAACATTCGGATAGGAATATAAAGGAGACAAAACAAAGCTAATACTGGGTTGGTGTGTTATCAACTGCCAAGCCAGGCAAAAGATCTGGATAACGCCCTCCTGGGCCTTGTTACAGAACTTTCAGGGAGGAGAGACATAATAAAAACCAACTTAGCCAAGATGGCAAGATCCCAAAACTTCCTCAGAATTTTCTAGAATTCTGAAGAAAAAACAAGGGGATCAATTGTCCTAAGCATAGGTGTACACATGCACTAGATTTCAGGAGAGCCAATTACAACAAGCTTGGAGAAGTATTAGGTGAGGTCCCATGGCCAGAAATCATCAAGTCAAAGGAAGCACAGGAGAACTGGGAACCACTCAAAAGTATGATAGCAGAAGTACAAACACAACAGAACTCAGAATGGAAAAATGGATTGAAAAAAAATTGGGGGGCAGCTTAGGAAACTGAGGTGTAATACCCAAGATGATGGTCCACCAAGTACTCAGTATATGCAGTAAAAAAGTTAGAAAGGCTAAACCACAAAAGGAACAGAGGCTTGCAAGCGAAGCCAAAAGCAGCAAAAAGGGCCTTTTGGCTTATCAGTAATCAGTGGAGGAAAAAGGATGGGAGGGGCCCATTGCTAGAACAGTAACAGATGATGGGGACGGTGCTCCTCAGCTCCAGCCTTCTTCCCATTTATTCCCCAAAGGTCCACTTGTGTTTAAGTGGAGATAACAGAAACAGCTAGCAAAAGAAGGGAATGGCTGCCCAGTGAACACACTTCAGTGATTTTGGGTCAAGCTGGAAAGAAGTGTCCAGCAGCATACCGGTAGGCTCTGTGCTCTTCCACATATTTATAAGAGGTTAGATGATTATCAACTTTGGAGGGATGGCAAACAGGACGGTATTAAGATTTAGGAGGATCTTACAAGCTAGAGTAATGGGCAGATACCAACAAGATGAGCTTCAACAGGATAAATGCAAAGTCCTACATCTGGGTAGGAAAAAAAACAGACGGGACCATTCTGGGCAACAAAGCATGTGAAAAGGATCTGGGTCCCTTGGTGGATCATAACCCAAACGTGAGCCAATGGTGTGATGCAGATACAACAAAAAGCAAATGCTGTCGAGACGAAGAGGAGTCACTGTTCCTCTCTAACTTGCATTGCTCAGATGATACCCAGAACACTGCCTCCAATTCTGAGCACATTCTAGGAAGGACATTGTCAACCGGGGGCACGTCCAGAGGAGAGCAACCAAAATGATAAGGGGCCTGAAGAGAAAGTCCATGAGGGATAATTGGAGATGTTCAGTCTGGAGAAAAAAAGACTGGAGAAGAAAAGACTGCAGAGACAAGAAAGCTGTCTTCAAATACCTGAAGGGCTATTATGGAGAACACAGGGTAGAATTGTTCAGAAATATTCCAGAACAAGAAACAATGGGTTTAAATTACAAGGAAGTCGATTTTGGCTGGACCTCAGGAAACATTTTCTAGTAGTAACAGCTGTTCAGCAATGGAAGAGAAATTTTAGGAGGTGGTATATTTTCCTTTGTTAAAGGTGTTTCAAAAAGGCTATATGGCCATCTGTTAGGGATGCTACAGTGGTGGATTCCTGCACTGGGCAGGGTGTTGGACTAGATTATCTCCAGAGTCCCATCAAACGCTTTCAGTCTATGATTCTGCAGTCACGGTTGTGAAAGGATGAACTTTCTTCAGGCAGGAAGTCACAGCCAAAAGAACTTCCTTCCTGTTTCCTTGGGAGGAGCCCCCTCTGTTCAGTCACATGAAATGATGTCAGCTATATGACCTTATATTTGTACACATCATAACCCCGTGACATCTGATGGATGACAAACTTTGCCAAGCATAGTCCTCCCAGGGAATTCCTGACTTGTTTGCTGAGAATTTTCTCCTTCAAATGGCAGGAGGAGGCACAAGAAGGTCAGCTACCCTGTACTAACCAACAGGGAAAATTTAGTGAAAGGACTGGAAGTAGCAGAAACATTGGGGAAATGTGACCATGTAGTACTAGAATTCTTGAGGGAAACTAAAATTGCGCATAGTCAAATACGTATCTTGGGCTTAAAAGAAGACCATAATAAACTCAGAACAATGATTAGTAGGATCTCTTGGCAAGAGGAGATAGTAAGAAAGGAAACTCAAGATGAGGATGAGCACAGTTCAGGTCACAAAGGAAGAGGAAAGACAGGTGTGCCAGAACCGTAGAACCTGAGTGAGGAAAGCAAAGCTCAGAATGAGCATGGTGAAGCAAGCTAAGAATAAAAAAGGGGTTCTTTGGATACCCTCAAAAGAAAAGGAAAAGGACCAGCATACCAGCTGCTCAACAGGGAAGTCAAAATGCCAACAGGTAACAAAGAAAAGGGAGACCTACTCAATGCCTATTTTGGTTCAGTCTTCACCATTAAAAAAAAAAAATGAAGTATTCCTTCAGGAGCTGGATGAAGGGGCAGGATTGAAGGTTGGAACTGACAGAAACACGGTCAGAGAATACCTGTTTAAATCCCCAGAACCAGATGAACTGCACCGAGGGTTACTAAAGGAACTAGTTGAGGGATTGGATGAACCTTTCTATATTATCTTTGAAAACCCTGTGCAACTGAAGTGCCAAATAGCCGAAGAAGAGCAAAGTTGTCTCTCTCTTCAAAGGCAAGAAAGCAAGACGCAGCAAACTAAAGACCAGACAGTCTGACATGGATATCATCGATAGAGCATATCACAAAGAGAATGTGATGGTCTGTGTGAATGACCTTGGGAGACAGGAGGAAGATGTGCAGCCTAGGTCTGATAAGAGGCAGCTCAGTCAGGAGGCGGGGAGCATGGGAAGTATTTCAAAAAAGACCCTCCCCTCTTTTTAGTCTCTGGAAAGCTAGGGAGGGTCCCTTCTAAAATGTTTCCCATGCTTTTCCCCCATCTGCAGACTGAGCTGCCTCTTATCAAATTGTTGCCTAAACTGTGGATCCTCCTCCTGTCTCCCAAGGTCATTGCCACAGACCATCACAGAGAATGATCTGAAAACGCTTTGAAAAAAATGTAATTACCAGAAATCAGCATGGATTTCTCAAGGAAAAACTTTTGCTAGACTAATCCCCTTTCATTTTATTTGGTTACATTCTTAACAGATTGCAGGAATGCTATAACATAATATACCTTCATTCCAATCATTAGAAAAATAATCCTAAAAATAAGAGCAGAGGGATAATGGAACCACATAGCCCATTATAATGTTAGGCTTTCTTTCGCTAGACGTCTTAAAGCAAAGAGTAAATGGTCTTTATTTCTACACTAAGCAAGGACTTTGTTCCAATGGCCTAGATGGCCACTTTTAGCTCTGTAATTGTCATTCATACTCTTTACTAACTACGAACATTACAATTACTAAACGATAAATCATCAGACCCAAACTAGGCTACCCCTAATTACACACGACTATACATATGTATAGGGTTGATTACTAAGCCTAACAGATTACTGTGGAACCGCGAGTCACATTGAATTTTGATGTAGAGAGCTGGAACTAGTCAGATCTGAATGCAACACTGGACCATATGACAACATATGCGTGTATCAGGGTGTGTCACAGACATTCTTTCCTCATCTCTATCAGGTCTATCATAATCCAGAGCCAGTGTAGTACTATTAGGACATCTAGGACTCTTGGTTGTTTCATCCTGCGGACACCCTCAACAGCGTTGGTATCAGTGGAACGTGCCAAGTAGGCATGAGGGCTATGGAGATGTACCTGTACTGTTGTTTGCACTTACTAACAAGTCAACTTCCAGGATGCCCCATTCCATTGTAAGAGGCTGAGAGATTCCATGAGATGCTGCTGGTTCAGCCATTCTGTTTTCACAATTACTGATTTATGTCCTCAATTGTGATGGATAAGAAATGCTTCTCTGTCTATTTCAGGAGTCAGTCTCCTTTTTAAGTCCTCTGGTGATTTATGTAGGCTTTTGTTAAACACTGTGCATACACTCTGTATTTCCAGTTGATGGATGGGAAGCCTTACTCATGCTGTCACTATGAACCATGAACCAATCTGTTCCAGTGGTCCCCTAATGACAGAGGTTGGCATCTCTACTGATCTGATCACCTCCTCTGGTCAGTTCTTTGAGTGGCAACCCTGTTGGCAGGTTTATGGCTTTCAGCTAGTTACCTGCAACGCCCCGTAACATTCAGTTTTCCTCCCTGAATGCACCAATCTCCAGGGCTTGCTTGCAATTTTAAAAATTAATCTTCTGGATCAGGAAATGATTTGTCATGGTCTGGACGTGGCCCAGGCATAAAAAACAGGATGTTCTTGGAACCCTGGAACATTCCATCCCTGGAACGGTGTGCTTCACCTGTCCCTGGTTCCAGCCCCCAGGGGAGCAATGGATCACATTCCACGGTTTTCAGTCAGATCGACATTTTGCTAGATAGCAGCACTGTGGTGGGCATGAATGGACATGGGCCCATAGTTGTGACCAGCACACCTGGATGCTGTCAGTTTCATGAAATGTAGATTGTGAGGAAGACAGGCTTTCTTGCTCCCCTTTGCATCTTGTCCATTAGTTCTTGTGACAGAAAATTTTTCACTTCTCTGTGAAAACCCAGGTGAAATATTTGTTGAATGGTGTCAGTGAGCTCCTGGCCTGGTTCAACATGAACCCATGCTCTACTCTATGTTGTGTATCTTGCCCTGGAGGTTATCCAAAGGTGCGTATTACATGGATGTTCCTTGCCTGCCAATAGTCCACCTTGGTGAAAACTGGACTGTGCACGTGTAATTGATGCTAAAAGGGAGAGGCTACTGGGGGTGATAATGAGCAATCTCTGATGTACAGCTGACAGAAACCTGCAAAGTCTCAGCAGGTCCACTGCAAAATAGCTTCTACAATTTTTAGATTCTGAACCTCTGCTCTTAATAAATCTGTTTAGAGCTCTGAAGTTCAGCTTGTTCTCCACTCCCCACTCTTCTCGCCAAAGGTGAATAAAAAGAAAAAGGCCACGAAGCATTTTTGCAATGGTATCCAATCTATGACATCCACATACTTCGTGGGGCATCGTGCAGGACTTTGCTTCTCTGCTGACCTGGAGGGGTCACTTTTGGTTCTTGAGTGGAAGCCCATCGAGAGTCAAGCTCCTGGCTCAAGGAGAAAGGCAGGTGCTGCTCATTCTGTTGTGAAGACCAGGTAAGGATCCCCTTGTGGTCTGTGGGCAGTGACTTCTCCTTGGCCCCTCCCCATGATGCGAAACTGCCTTTGAACTGGCAATCCATCTCCTTGTGTCTGACCCACAGAATGCAGTGCACGGCTACACCAAAGAACTGGTTCTTGCAGCAAAATGGAGTCCATTGTGATAGAATGGTTTGGTGAAGGCCATGCTTGGGGAGATAAGCATTGCCTTAGGCCCCAACAGGAGCGTGGGAAGGTTAAGAAGATGAGACTAGCACCACCCTAAGGAATTCGCGGGGTTTTGCTTGCT